ATGGTAAGGACTTCAAACTGTTCCAGTTTGTCGACCACCTCTTCTACCTGCTGTATAGCTTTCACAAGTCCGGAGTGATTCTCCCTCGGGATATCAAGGTGAATAGCTTCCATTTTCTATCTTCGAAGAAAACGGCTACCAGAACCAGTAGAGTCAGGAGCTTAGTTCTTTCACAGAGAGCAGAGGTTCTCTCTGGCGACTGAAGTCTGAATGGCATGGGGACTGTTCGGGAGTCTTATATTGCCCACATGAGTCTAAAAATACCTCTAGGAAAGTTGTTTATCCCAAGGTCAGCTCAGTACAAGGTCATTGACACCCCTTTGAAATGAGGTCAGCCAGGTGTTCGATAGTTGCTCTATGCTGATTGGTCCAAAATAATGTTGTGATGTCATAGTGTGATTCTATGATGTCACGCCGGATCCGTTTCCCAAAGGGGTACGCGGTCATTGACCCCCAGTCAGCCTGAGTCACACCGGAGTGAGTTGGATAGTTGCTCTATGCTGATTGGTCAAAAATAATGGTGTGATGTCATGGTGTGATGCTATGATGTAACGCCGGATCTGTTTTCCCACGTGGGTGCGCGGTCATTGCCCCCTGTGAAATGAGGTCAGCCAGGTGTTCAATTAGGTCACCAAAAATGTTTTATAAACAACAACACACACATACACACACACCCCTCTACAACACATGCACGTGAGGTTAAGTGAAATGTGGTTCATCATCGACCTCAAGATTTTGCACTCATTTCTAAAAGTGCATTAATATGAATTTGTTTCTGTAAGTGCGTGTGCGCGTGTGTGGTTGAATTACTACTCCTGTGATCATTGGGGAAACAATCCCACGTATATTTCCCAATGTATAATTCATTTTGCAGATGTTCTTTGGAACCACTCGGGCGTAAGCTGATATAGTGTGATTGAACACAATTAATTGTATCTTGGGTAGATTTGGTATTCATCTGACCGGAAGGATGCTTTGTGCATGATGTCATACATTCAGATTAGTTTATCATATTATCGGAAATATATTCCTTCGATACGTGGACAAGTCTTCTTGTCAGTTACGGAAAGTGGCGAGGGATGACGAGTGAAGTCTATGGCCGATGTTGTCTTTGTAACATGAACGCTCATTGGTCTCCTTTCCGAGACCGAGGCTTGTTGAGTTGGCGAATCAGTAATCCGTCTGTTATCTTCACGGCGGACGGACGAATGTTGTGTATACAAACCCTTGAAGCATTGACAATGTCCGAACTTATAGGAACCGCCAACAATAACAAAGAAACAAAAACATGTTCGGTTTTATTAACAAGGCTAGATCGTGGTTAAATGGTAACAATTCAGCGTCAGCAATTCCAAAGTTAAACATTCCGATAAAAATAACAACGAAGATGATACAACATTTAAAACACATTGATTTGAAATGCCAGCTGGACGTAAGGTCCGCTAGTAACAAACAAACCCATATAAAATGAAAAGGAGCCCCAGTGAGTTGGGAGATCAACCTGAGGAAACCCAGACTTGCTTCATTTAGGGCTTTATAATTGTAGCGAGGGCAAGGCAGATTGGAAAATAATGTGGTTCAGGGACTGTGAGACAGACTAAAGGACACATAAAAAACAGCATTATTTCTCATCATAGACACCCCTTAAAATTTGTTCTGTCCTTTGTACTTGGAAAGGAAATGGCAAATCATGTGTCATGTTCGGCTCAACATTTGTGAAGAACGATTTGGTTTCCTTGTGTTTGTTGTGGAAAAGTTGCCGAATTATCCAGAAGGATCCTGTATAAGGCTTACTAAACGTTTTGAAGAATTTATAGAAAGGTTGAAATTTGCTTTATTTAATATTAGTTCACATTCAGGATGATATATATGGGAAATCGAAAGAAAATATAAACTAAAGCTCCGCCGTAATCTACTGAGAAAAGTCGAGATGAGAAACAATTCTTGCGTTTGAAATGGCCTGAGCATTCAGAGCAACAGCTTTAAAATCATTTTCTGTCCGGTATGATGCTGATAAATGTTAATACTAACTATGTAACATAAAAGGAATATCACATTAAACACTGTTAGTGAGAAGGAATACTGACACTACTCTCAAACCGACTGTCTCTTGGTAGGCACTTCGGTTGGAGATTAATACATACTGCATCCCGAGACCATTGGCAAGGGGACAAGGGACAAAACACTGCTGCACTCAACGACAATGTTTTTTATAGGCGAATGAGTGAGTACAGGTTTGTACTTTTGCATTGGACACCGGAAATCAACTTCAGACATTGTAGCCATGAGGGTTCTTCGTTGTAACGGCTGAGCGTTTTAACACAACGAACGGCAACCAAACGCCAATTTATCGAGCGAGAGATTTCGGTTTTACGCTGTTTTCAGCAATATTCCAGCAATATCACGGCAGGGGACACCAGAAATGGGTTTCAAACACACTACCCATGTGAAGAATCGAACCTGGGTCCTCAGCGTGACGAGCCAACGATTTAACCACTAGCCCCCCCCCCCCCCCCAGCTTATTGAAAAAACAATGCGTGCGTTGGCGTAATGTTGTTAGGCATGCATTTTCAAAGCCTACTTCCACTGCCCTAAGATAAAAGCACAGCAAACATTTGTCTGTACGGTCGTTTCATACCCATTGCAATTTTCATCGATCGCGTTTAGTGCAGTATCCACATGAATAAAATCATTGTCTATCTCCACGACACATTGCACCAGTGGGCGTGATGTATTAAAGGCTAACACTAGCAGGAACAGGTATAGTGAGTTAGTGAGTAAATATTGCTTTAAGCCGCGTAATTGATGTTGCATGTTGATAACGTCAAGGCCTCCGACTACATGGGGTTTTCCCCGCAAAGCCGATTCGGTAATAGGAAGGACAGAATAGGGAAATTTTACAAGTGCTTTAAACCATTTGTACGCGATATTATTGAATGATTTATAGGCCGCTTTTGTTGGTAACCACATCATCCATACCGCACATATTTCTACACATCACAACCTATGCAGCGAATAGCTCAGTGGAAGTTATTATTACGACAATGTAAAGATGCAACAAGCATGTAATGAAGACGTATTCCAGATTCTCTCTCTGTTCTTTAAATCTAATCATACCATTTCCTCAACACATCTCGAGATTTAAATAACTTGTCAGTCTAGAACTGCCTTCCAGAAACAAACATGGAAAGGGAATGTAGAAATAAACGATTTTAACATTTCTAAATGAATCCAGCTTTGTGTCAACAAGGAGGTAGTCACACAGTGAAACAACCAGAGAATCACATCTATAACAACGAATCTTGTTAGACCGAACCCTCACAATCCGGACGACTACTGTACAAAAAACTGGATAGACATTACAACGACATTTGTTAAAGAAGGGGGACAATTTCATGGATATACAACTATTGTGTATAGGCGACGTTTCGACATAGATTCTAATGTCGTTCTATATCCATAAAATTGTCGTCATTCTTCATCTCAATTTCTAGAATGTCAATTAATGGAGATTCGTTACAAGAGAAATTTGCTAATTCACTCAGTTTATTAGGTTCGGATTAACGAGATTTTGCTGTAGCATAACGTGGTTTCTATAGCAACAAATCGGGCAGTGTATCTATGGGAATGTATGTTGATATTAAAGCTACAATCTCAAGGGAATAAATTTGAGATCAAGAGATCACTCGGAAATGTAATGATGATATCATACTCTAAACCAGAATGTGCTTATATCTACAACCCTGTAAACGAACCTATTTAGACCCACGGGATCTATACAAACAATCCTTCATATCCGAAATTCAAACTATAACGTTCGTCGTCGCGCCTTCTTTGTTGTCACTATTTCGGCGTATGGAAAGATAAGGGAACACTGTTAATTACATTACAGCATTTATCGTAGTATTTCGAAACCATTATTGCATTGGTCACTTGTTGTCCACTCTTAAATATAATCATTTGTATATCGTGTTCGTCAACGGCTTATGTGTCCCTTTCTACATCATAATACTGTCAACGTCAATGGCTTATCAAACCGAAACATGAGTCTCATTAAGCTGTTCAGACAATGACCTACTTTTCAGCGGATCCGAATTTTCACAAGCAACTATGGTTACACTGAATTCCAATTCCTTGTTTTATAGCAAAAATGTTATTTACAAAATGAATTGTAATTTTAAACTTTAATAACATCGTATTTCTATATTTTATGGCGAGGTGTAGGCGGCATGACCGTTTACTAAGATGTCCATGTTTGATGAGGTCGTAAAATGATTCACAATTCATCTGGTTCACTGGTTCCACCTGTTATGTGTTCTTTGCGCTTATTCAGTGTAGTTTTGTAAAGCACAAAGTGATTGATATATCAGGTCCGTACCGGCTTCAGACCGCCAAACTTTTCTAGCGGCAGAGCCTCGTTTTGAGATTTCCACGATTTCCGTTTGTCAGAGCACGTTTTACGACAGAGCACGCAGCACGACGTGTTTGCAAGGATTAGAAGGAGCGTAATGTTGCAATATACAAGTGCTTGGATGTATCAAATGATACTGATTAATATTTATCTATCCAGTTGAATTAATTGGTCTCAAAATTCTAGACTGGTTTTGTACTAAGTTGCGCAATAGAACGGAACCAGTCAGCAGGAAACAAGACCGTCAACGGCTTATCACCGTCAACATGCTTCCGTCTACATCACAATACTGTCAACCAAGACGCTAATTACCGTCCACCTGTCTGTGTCCACACCATAACTACGTCTTCGTCAACGGCATATCAACATCCACCTGTTTCTGTTAGCACCATAACATTGTATTCGTCGTGTGCTTTCAATGTCCATCTGTACGTCAACGTCATAAGATCGACAATGTCAATGGCTTATCTACGTTCACATGTCCGTGTCTACAGCATAATATCGGCAATGAATTAACAACAGTTCAAATCACTGTGTCTATATTTTAACATTGCCAGTTTGTTTTAACATTTGAAAATTTTATTTAATCTATCTTAAGCTAGTTTGTAACGATTTCAGAGTCAGCACATACAACATTTGTTGTCATGGATCAGAGATTCATCGACAGATTTTACAGACCGCTCACTAAAATACTTGAGTCGATACGCTGACATGTTTTAATATAGTATGTATGGATTGATACTTCGCTTCGTTGAGCAGCTTTCAATCTCACAAACCTCCTCCATCCTCGTCTTTTTCAATGTTGGTACTGAGTGAAGACAGTTCTGACATGGGTGACTGGGCAGTCGACACATTCCAGTAACGTAGAAATATGTAGTGCGTGTAAAGGCTTAAACCAAAAGGCGGACGAACCGCATCGTTCATGAACCGTTGCTGCATCACTGTCCCAATCTTGTCTCGGTTCCGTTTAATAAAATTAAAACACAGGTCACAAGAATACGATACAAAACTTTTGGCCTGGAACGTGGTCATAAGTTTGCACACGCTGCCTGAATGGTTCATATATTACTAGTTGTATCATATGACTATTTGTACATTACTGGTTGTAGCTACAACGGAATTGATACCAACTTCCTTGATGCCATAATTCGTGCACAATGCGAAGCTTCTGAAGTATAGCTTAAAACGTTAGGGCAATCTTGTGGAGGAGGTTGAAGGAGGAAGAGAAAACACCTTAAAAATCCTAATCAGCAATACCTATCTTAATACTGATGGTGTGCATGAGACAATTATTCCAGCTTCTTCTTCTTGTCAGCCTGAGCTGCATCAGACATGTCAATGTGGAGGCCTTTGTTTAGGACAAGGGCGACCAGACAACCGACAAACGGGCCGATCCAGTACACCAGGAAATGATCCAGCATGGCCGTTCCCTTGCAGCCCAGAGTGTGGCCAGACGCCATGGCGGGGTTGAAGTACATGCCGGTCGTGGCAATACCTGGAAACCATAACATTCATAAATAGTTTCTGGATTAGGATTAGTGTGAAGTCCCATTATTTGTCAAGGCTAACCACCCTACTGCCTCTTTCAACCCCAAAATGTTGCTTGGTACTAATTCCATACCGGAATCCCCAGTGTACGTGGCACAGTTGTGTTAAACGACGCGTTTCATAGTGGAGAATTGCTTCTCGTGGTTATGCCTGGATCTGCTGATCGAGGGTTTATGCGCGTAGACCAACGTCGCGCTGATAATGATCCTACTTATGTCAACACTATATCCGCGATAATTTGTTTCATCAATGAGTAAACGTCTAAGACTTATATCACTCAGGGTTTTACATGACGCGTGATTCCTGCGTATTTGACGCAACAATTTTGTAAAAGACTATCAAAATATTATCATATGAGTCAAGCTTGACGCAAGTTTTATGAGTGACCCCCAGAATTCAGTTCATTAAAATTGATTTGATAAGCAAACAATGATAGTTTTCATGAGGTCTTCATTAATGTAGATATTTCTTTCAATTCATGTTAATAACTGTATGCTACAGTGAATAAATCACAAGCATGATTATTTGTTCAGTTTACTGTATTTTGTTATGACTGATTTGAAATGTGACAAATAAACTATTTATTAACTTCCGGTAACATTTAAATGGAAATACAACACAAAACAACAAAATCTCTGCAAAACTCTTACTTTTTGATAAATAAATAAAAATTACACTAAACGTTTCATGACTCCAAAACATTGAACATGACTCCCCAAAATAAATACTGTGAGTCACCATGACTCTCTTTTTTTCAAAGTCTGTGTAAAACCCTGATCACTTCTACCACAGTACAGGGCAATACTGTCTGCGTTTTTGCGTTTAATGATCGTTTTGTTTCATATTCCATAAACATATGGAAACGTGTGAAATACATATTTCCCCTTCCTAACTCCAAGAAAGGAGATTTCAGATTAAAAGACATATACGTTTAAGGAGAGGAAGGTAATTTACAGCTTAAATGTCGAGGTAAATCTTAAAGCAACTTATACAGACAATCAGTCGATTTATGATTGCCGTAATTGCTGACATACATGTATATTTACACTGATAACAGGCTGTCACCGTGTAGCTATGTGGCATTACCGTAAATAGCTGACCTACAAGATAACATACTTACCGACAACGATCATGATAGCTCCATTTGCATACTTGACTAACTCATCAAGCAAAGACATGCGGGAAACAGTCTGCATGCACAGCCAGTTATCCGACAACGTCGCCGCCATCTCTATCAAGAAACCGAAGGTCAAGGTCACGTTAAGGTCAGATGCACATTCGGTCTCGTAGTATCTTTCATGGTGGTCCGAGATCAGATCCAGTGACCACACTAGCTGCGCGAACCGATATGAAGCAAGTCCTGCTAAACTCTGAATAAATATTTTTATCATTGCCTTGGGAAATTTAATTTCTCCTGTCACCAGCCTTTGAAACGCGTTGACTGGATTCTCGGAGGCTCCATCGAATGTTCGGCCACAAATGAAACATTGGACCACAATGGCTATCCCAAGCCACAACGGGCCATAGTACTTGTAAACGAAGTTGTTCTCGAAGAAGTAGGCACAGGCCTCCATTGTTGCCAGGAAGTCGGCAATATATTCCTGGGCCCATCTAGGAGAGAACACCTTGTTTAGGGATCGGAGGAGGATTCCTGAAGTCATGTTGACCAGGAAGAAGATGAGAGAGGCAGCGTACGGTTCCAGGAACTCGCTGTCCGGGTTCTGCCCCAGCACCAGCGACCAGAGACTCCTCCACGTCATGGCGACTGCAACATGGGAGATATTTGTAATATTCATGAAGTCAGATGACGTGCCGTTCAAGTTTAATGTAGTTTTGATTATTTGTTTTTTAACGATGCACTCAGCATATTCCAGCTTTAAAGGGCGGTCTGTAAATAATCGGGGTTGAACCAGACAATCAAGTGAATGACATCATGAGATCTGCGCAACTGGTATAGGATGATATGTATTAACCATCAGCGAGCCTGACCACCCGATGCCGTTACTCGGCAAGCACGGGTTGCTGAAGATCTCAGCAGTTAACATTCCAATGCAACATACATCATTTCACCATATTCAAAAAGAGAAAGTGAATGAATTGTTATGTTCATGGTGGGTTATTGATAATTACTGCTATGTTGTAAGTGAGTGAGTGTGTTTAGTTTTACGCCGCACTCAGCAATATTCCAGTTATATGGCGGCGGTCTGCAAATATTCGAGTCTGGATCAGACAATCCAGTGATCAACATCATGAGCATCGACCTGCGCATTTGGGAATTTATGACATTTGTCAACCAAGCCAGCGAGCCTGACCACCCGATCCCGTTTGTCGCCTCTTACAACAAGCGGGCGGTGGGGTAGCCTAATGGTTAAAGCGTCGGCTCGTCACGCTGACGACCCGGGTTCGAATCCCCACATGGGCACAATGTGTGAAGCCCATTTATGGTGTCCCCGCCGTGATATTGCTGGAATATTGCTAAAAGCGGCGTAAAACCCAACTCACTCACTCTTACGACAAGCATGGGTTGCTGAAGATTCATTCTAACCCGGACCTTCACGGGTCATTGCTATGTTGTAATGTTCCAAGGTTTCAAATAATAAGTCAACTCAGAAGTGGAGTTGCCAATTTGAATCTGCAGTATTCTTTTCGACATCACCACCCTTGCTCATCTCCCCACCGATGAAATTAGAAAACCAGTATATACACGTTTATTACCTGGTCACGAGCCCGGACGTTGTGCATCAATATATATAAACCTCAACACAGCTGCAGTGATATATGGCCCTGACACAGTTGTGTGTTTCAACATCTGCTTCCCTCGTGATCAAATCGTGAATGCACGTGTAATATCCTGTGTTACGGCTGCAATAGTTGCAACACCGGGTTCGATTCCACATATGGCTGCAACATGTGTAGCCTATTTCTGTTTTATCATCCCAAACTCCACAGGAGATATAGGGGCGGTGGGGTAGCCTAAAGCGTTGGCTCGTCACGCCGAAGACCCGGGTTCGAAGACCCGGGTGTGAAACCCATTTCTGGTGTCCCCGCCGTGATGTTGCTGGAATATTGCTAAAAGCGGCGTAAAACCAAACTCAGTCAGTGAGTCAGTCCACAGGAGATATTGCTTGTGCCAGATCAAACAGTAGATTTTGTACAATGCCCTGACAGTGCTATGACGTCATGAACTTGATGGCGTCACAATGCTATGAAATCGCTGCACTGCAAGTCTAATGGCAGTACTGTGTTCAGAGATGTACATTTTTAATTGAAAACTAATGAAGAGTGATATTTGATGATAAATAGAATCTCACCCTCGTGTCTTCAGATATCTAATATATCAACACTCGGATATTTGTTACTTTATCAACTCGTGGTGATATATTTGATATCAAAAGACACTCGGGTGAGATTCGCTATGTATCATGCCGTGATATTGCTGAAATACTGCTCTGAGCGGCGTAAAATAATACTCACTTACTAGTATCAATGTATTGTTTTGCAAAGACCGTCTGCCGAAATTGTCCTTTTTTGTGATTATTGGGGATTGGGCTCCTCGTTGCCCTTTCTCGTTTTGAAATATGATGTCATTCGTTTTGATCGAACGATAATATGTTGATTTGGCTGTTATAAAGTTTATAAAGTATCATATTTCATGCTTAACTTTTGAGGGGAACGCTTTGGGCCCCCATCGCCACTCCTTACAAATAGTAGCCTATGCGTCTCTCTCTCTCCCCCACACACACACACACCACCACTAACTGCCCCTCCCCTTCCCCCACCACACACAATCCACCACTACCAAACACCACCCAACCCCACCTGTCGTTTTCCTTCAAAATCTATCATCTGCCCATGGACTGCATAGAATAGGCCGGGTACAGACGAGGCGTTGCGTTCACTTTCATGACCTTCATTGTTGGTCTGCACGAGTGATCACAGCCAACTCACGGACAAACAGTTACTTCGTCATTTGCATGACTGACAAGATACACCGTGGTCATGAACAGACATGTCATGATCACGTCACGCGTGACAAGCAGCGAAAGTGCTTATTACTGAACTTGTACAACATTCCATAAACCTCAACGGTATCGTACCCAAGCCATTATTCCCCTGAGCAGTTGCGTCCCTTTATTTAACCAGCAGTGACCGCGAAGCGTTGATGGTATGGCTTGCTGCTATGGTTACTAATATGCTCGAGGCTGACAATGAACAGATGTGGATCTAGGTCAGCTTCCTGTGACCCAATAAATCACCCCTACAACAAAAGTCAAACATTACAGTACATACCTGCACTTGGATTATTCAAGTTGCGGAAGCTGTCAAAACACTGCGAAACTATCTGCAGTATTTATCCGTATTTATCCACGAGATGCACTTCCTCTTCGAAATATCTGTCCGTGTTGCCGGGAGTGACCTCTGTCCACGCTGAGTGACCAGCATGCAGTGAATACCCTCCCCAGTAGTTTTTGTGAGCCGTACGTGCAACAGGAGGTGGCCTGGCCGAGCACTTGCAGATCTTCCCTGTGAGATTAGACTCGTCCAACACCGGCTCACACACAGCAGTAGGTCAGGCCATTTACAGCTGACTGCGTACAGTTGGAGTTAGACTAAGGCTTAGTCTCTGAATATATATAAATTTGATAGTAACAAACAAGACCATATATATTTACCTGAGGAAATCTAGACTTGCTTTATTTAGGGCTTTAGCACTGCAGAGAGAGCTTGGCAGTGGGGAAAATAATGTGATTCAGGGACTGTGAGACAGACTGTACTGTACGCGGTGTACTGTACGAGAGAGATATCCCTTGACACTCATACATTCAAACTAGAATTGCTTCGTATTAAAAATATATGTTGATAGAAAATAATAGACAACGATATTCAAATTGGCAAGGAGAGCCACTTTGATATGAGATTAAGAGACAAACTGCATTTGCATTGGTACTTATAGACTAACAACTAGTCTCTGAAATGAACATATTTTACTGAAAAAAGTTCATAGTAAAAAAAATATATATATACTGAATAGAAGCCCTGAGACTTCCTTCGAGGAAATCTAGACTTGCCACATTTCTAGACTTGCGTGGGCTTTCTTGGATATATTTGCTTCAGGGTCTGTATGACAGACTATGGTACTTACTACTAGTTCTGAATCTCCAGCCTCGTTTCAACAATCCGCTACTTTTTCCGAACGGATTATCAGCAAGATCCGATTCGTGGATTCGAATCCCAGATGTTCCCTAATAACGATTGTCGGAAAGTAATTATTGACTCAAAATTACACATTGAAATCTCTAGTGGGAATTAAATTCAATTAATATGTTCAATAAACAGTGGCGTTATCACACTTAAGCGGCGAAGACACAGTTTCCTTGCCTGTGCTTGTAGACCTATGAGGCGTTATGTCTGTTAGATTTGCCGGACCATGTCCGAAGTGTCTCCTTGTTTCATCTCGTCGTTATATGTGGACATCTGACTGCATTCGTAACTTTACATAAACTCACATCTGACAGCCGGACAGTCTGTTAGACGTGGCGTGTAACCCAGAAGAGAGTTGCGGATCCCCCTTTAACAAAAGGCACTTACTCTTGAGGCGGACCGATGGTAATCCGCGAAATGAAGGTAGAAAACATATGTGCAGGACATTTTCTCATGTATAATAATGTGCAGTTACACCACTGTCTTAGAGTTTTCGGTTGGAACTCTACTCTATATCGTAACTGTCCAACTGGCTTATCACGTGACACCTGACGTAAGTTATATTAAATATTCTTTTAACAAGCAGTTATTTGTATTTTCCAGAACAAAACCGTGCCATGTTTATTTACGGTTTGTGAGAGATGAGAAGAGGTTTTCGAACCACAATTCATAAGAATTATATTATGTGATAAAGAGAATATTACGTGTTTGTTGCATAAGGAATAGAAATGATTGCACTAATAGTTTATCTTTGGCAGCCTAAGCTCACTAAATATAATGACTACTCCTAATACAAGTATATCCGTTATCCTAAAAATACAAGCGTTATAATCTCCATAACTGTCAGTCACAGATGAGATGCGGCATGCTGCTGATGCAGATAGTGATGCAGATAGTGATGCAGATACTGATGAAGTGTTACTGTTACTGAGCATCAAATGCTAATGTTCCGTACGTACTGTACAACCTAATTACCAGTTGTGAAAAATGCAACTGCATCTCCAGTTTCAATGGCATATATAAGACTACCACCGGCTCAAACACCGATCCTGTCACTGTTGTATGGTGAATTATTCAGATGTAGACCTCGGAGATGCAGCTGTTAGACATTCCACAGCCATTGTGTTACATTAAAGATGTATTGATGTACGGAGCACGGTGTTAGTGAACGCTGTGAAGTCGGTGACATACTGACCAGTTTACGTCCCTATTCACATCGATCGCCATACCTGGTCATACAATATGTAGTAAACATTCAAACTAAACGTGTTACGAGACAGCTACGTCGACGACGAACACATTGATAGTTACCACGTGCACAACGTGAATAATGTATGTTGCTACTTCGTCAGTACCATTCATCCACGATGACACAATGAATGACTGAGTATGGTTTTACGCCGCATTTGGCAATATTCCAGTAACATCACGGCGGGGGGACACCAGAAATGGGCGTCACACATTGTACCCATGTGGGGAATCGAACCCGGATCTTCGACGTGACGAGCGAACGCTTTAACCACTAGGCTACCCCACCGCGCCACGATGACACAGGCGTTGCTGTATAATACGTGGGAATATTAATGACGGCAACGTAAAGCCAAATGTCACCTAGCCCCAACAAGCCCAACAATATGACAAAATGAAAAACTTTTATTCACATGTTTGTTAAATGGCGCAGTGCAGAAACACACGCGTTTTAACTTCAGTAGTATTATAAAGTAAATTATATAAGAAAAAGAGGAAAGGAAATCAAAAGCAGAACAGTTGTGATAACCACGTGCAATGACGTGCAAAAACAGGTCAAACGTCAGTCAACATTTTGACGTTTGTTGACTATGTGTGACAGAATGCAGCGACTGAATACACTGTAATACGACGCTGAGTTTATTTTGGTTTGGTTGTTGTTTAACGCCGCTCTCAGCAACGTTAAGGCTATCATGGCGGATGTCTGTAATTAATCGAGTCTGGATCAGACAATCCAGTGATCAACATCATGAGCATCGGTCTACACATTGGGATACAATGACGTGTCAACCAGATCAGCCAGCCCGACAACCCGATCCCGTTAGTCACCTCTTACAACAAGCATGGGTTGCTGAAGATCAATTCTAATCCGGATCTTCAGGGGTCGTGTCTTTATGAAGATTTTTCTCAAATGGGGAGTTATTATGTAAAAACTCCAATGCCCGCTTGTCCCAAAGGGAACGCCTTTGTAAGCATTTGATGGAAACAGTACAACTGCATGAAGCATTAATAAAATACGCTCCCTTGATCTAAGTCAAGTACATGTTGCGAGAGTCTGAGGCACAATACCAGTGAGGACTTAGACGAAATAAGTTCCTTTGTGAAGGTGTGAGAAGCACGGGAATGGTTTCAGCTGTTATGGCCGGTTAACCGAAGCGCGAGCCTTGGAGATGTAGAGTACGTCAAAACAACCGAGCTTGATCAGTCAACCATGATACATGTTTATTGATCATAACATATTTAATAAGCAACATATATATCAAATATAAATACAAATTTTACAGTGTTTTGATATTACATAAGCACAAAAGATATTACAATGTCATGAACAGTTTCATTTATACATGTTATACACACAATGGCAATATACATATGAGCTATGGAACTAATAGTGCACAATGAAACTATGAAATATGAAAAGTATTCAATAACAATATATGTTTACATCCTAATGTATTTGGAGACAATAAACTAAAAGATAGATATTGTGTATACAGTGAAATATAAAACACAACGTTCTGATGTTTAACTTTTGAGATACATTAGAAGACCGGGCCACTCACTGACTAATGGAATGGTCTCTTTGAAATGCAGGGTACAAAGCGATCGTAGCGCAAAGATGATCATAACTCCCCCACTTTAACATACACTTACGACAGCCGTAGCGCTACAATCACGTTGTGGAACGGGCCCCAGGTGTGTAACATGTATTTTATCTATGTTTTATCGGGTTGTATCGAACTTGTTATTCCAATTATCTGACCAATGATCCTGTGACCAGAAAACTCATTTCTTACGCTCATCAAATTCTCAAACCTCAAAGGGTTACACTTCCACAGGATCTCGCAGAACAGTAAACATGGAACACATTCATGTCACACAACAGGAACATATGTTCTTCAACTATCTAGCCATGAACAAGGCACTTTTCGTGAAGATATTGCCTCTTCTAGAACAATTCTGTTAGATTGCAACAAAGAACTTCTTGCGGAACATGAGGTAGGCGATGAAGCACCAGATGCCGGCGCCCCACACGTCCTGCAGCAGCAGCTTCCAGTGGATTTCCTCGATCTCCCAGTTGATGGGGAACAGTCGCCACAGCAGGTCGTGGCCCACGTACACCACGATCGAGTTCATACCTGGAACAAACATCACATACACGTCACATGCTACGTAAGCTGTTGTGTTGATTCGACATGGGGTTACTTGGTATGTAAATTCGTTAATACCTCAATTATTTATAATATATCAACTCCTGTATTGCATGAAATGTTTTGCAAATATAGCTTCCGAAGTCATGAGAAAGAAACGGATGAATCAGGACTTCGCTGCACAGAGCAATCTTAGGGTTACGACTCACGCAAATCTCAGTTCTTGTATCTGAATTATGTATGGCCAGTCGCAGAGGTCCTAGCCTTAAACTAAACATCTCTACTAGAAACAAAAGTTGTCCATGTATTCGAACAAGAATATGCTTCAAATCATGATCGCTTCTCTTACTTATGTTACGGCATCTCATTTTGCGAGGTGAGATGTAGATGAAGTCTCAAAGGCAATGAACCATGAAATACGGGAGGTTATCACTGAAGTAAATATCATTACTGATTAATGGGCTAAACCATTACAGACAGAGGTAATTAGTATGCCAAAGGGTGTGCAGTCAACCAGAAATGTTGTTGTTATAAGCTGTGGAAGTTTTGGGATGTGGAAGTTTTGGGAGGATACCAAAGAGTTCCTATCAAGCGGGGACAAGTATGCTTTTAGTGTACACATGAAAACAATGGGTTGATCTATCACCTAGCAGGGCAAGCCAATGATGCTGACGTCCTGTTCTAAACCGGGAATATACCTGCTTCTGAAACTACAGAACACCAGCATGTGATTTACCTGGATAGAGGAAGGGCCCGCCTTCCCACCAGTGTACGATGTCCATGACCACATACATGACCGACAGAAGGAAGAAGGCGAAACTCGCCGTCACCAACACGAAGGAAACCGACCTGAGAAGTTAAGACGGCATAATTAGTAACTGTTTATTTACAAATTACAATGTTTTACCTAATCCAGGTGAGACGGAAACGTGTGACGCTATACCGTATAATTATGTAACGCCTAACTTAGAAGCTACATCCACCTATATGATAGTGGCCTGTAATATACCACTCACCCTTTGCTAAGGATAAAAAAAATTCTCAACTTTTTTAAACGTAGATTTATATAATTTGAAACTGTAACCATTTAAAACTAGATAATAATGATATGGTAACCCCTCCTTAGACAAACAGACACTTTAATCTAACCTTATGCACTTGATACATGAGTAACCATAAAATGGTTTTCAAGGCACCAATCAACCATTTCGCAAATCATGGAACGAGTCATTGACAAGTACACAACACCTGTTAATAGCAGGTATGGGTTCCACAAGATGAAATGGCATACTGAATCCTAGATCCATGCTTACAGTAAGCTTAGATATTTAAACCAAATTTGACCCCACATCATAGTTTTCTGTTGAATCCACGATTTGATCCTTTGCAAAGTGTGAATAGTATATAATCAAACCCGGACCAGGCAAACCAGTGATCGATCTTCTGAGCAAAGTTTAACTTCGTCTGGTTCTTTTGGGTATGCCATTTCAACCGTTTCATATATTAATACATCAACGGTGGTTTAATATGAATTAGAATTAAGACAACATAATATTGTATGATGAAAGAAAAATTAGTTATAATTTGTGTTAGACGAACGCAGATTCACGGGATGAGGTTGTTAGAACACTGGGTACGAACGTGTACAGAGTAATGCCGGAATCCTACACTTACCACAAGTTTTTATTTACAGGAACCCAGCCGTCGTTTTGACTACCCTTGCAAAGCAGTGCCGCAATCGCTCCCTGAAAAGACAAATGTAGTTAAATGTTTTTATTTTTCAAATATATCATTACATATTACTCACCGTTCCTGATAAGAACATGTCACACATCTCAACATCGTTTAGCCTCATTTCAATATTGGGTATCTGAAACTGTCATTAAAGGATGTTTACGGTTCGCTGATCTGTTATTAAGGATAATACGTTCAGTGCACTCGATCCCATCTGTTGTATCTCCAATCCCATTCCTATTTCGCCTTTCCTATTTCACACACGCCAGTAGTGTATTGTTTGCTAAACCCCAAACACAGCAATGATCAAGCTGATTTGGACAAGACAGACACGTGACTTATGCCAGAATACTTACAACCTGCCATTAATACGACGATACAACCCCATCCATTATATCGCTTCTAACTACAGACAAATGTCACCACGTGGGTGAGGGTCGTAGGATATCAGTATGAACATCCCCCCTCTTGTGATGATACCTCACATGAGCCAGCTGACCAGCTGACCACCTAGATCACCTGTAACTACAGGTAAATGTTGCCGGAGACCACGAGGGTGAAGACACTGTTTGATTTGTTTGTTGTTTACTGCTGCACAATATTCCAGCTATATGGCGGCGGTCTGTAAACAATCCAGTCTGGACCAGACAAGCCAGTGATCAAACATCATGAACAGCGATCTACGCAATTGGGATACAATGACATGTGTCAACCAAGTCAGTCAGCCTGACCACCCGACCCCAGCAGTCGCCTCTTACAACAAGCACGGGTTGCTGGAGATCAATTCAAACCCGGATCTTCACGGGTCACTTATACAAAAGAACAAGCATCACCCCTACCGTGATGACGCCCCAGATGAGCCACCTGACAATACGGCCTGTGTGGGACTGGTACGTGATGATGATGCGCCCAGCCTGAAACAGTAACACTTCTTTCAGCAAGCAGTTAATACTGGTGTATCCACGATAGCCACCAACGAAAACGTTTACCACATGCCCAAGACAAATTACTCCTTACATAACTTTCTCTTTCAAACATAGATTATAGCGACGAAGAATGAGACAGTTACATTTAATAAGGAACAAGACGCTTCATTAGTTGAAAAATAAAACACAATATTTCATTTAAAGGTTTCAGCCTCAACATACCTGCACTCCCAAAAAGCAAAGGAAAACAGATGTCAAAACTCCTAGAATTCCTTCCGGGTCGTATGGAACCTGCGTCTCGTATAATGCCTGAAACATGATGGATATCCTATTTATGAGGAACAAGTAGGAATGCCCCCCAAATTCTGTGCTGCTATCCCAAGACGCGATAGGAAAGTACCGTTACAGATACATACGCTTGGCCCTATTAAATCGCAAGGTGAACTATCCCTTGTGGTATGTAAGTGCTTGAACTCAAAACAGCTGAATATTCTGACACAGAGAGTTCCAATTAGGTGTATTTCTGGGTACATATACGGAACACATTTACTTATTAGTTACAAATATTTAAAAATAGACTGAATCCAATCGAGTAAACATATACTTGAATCATACCTGAGCAAAACACAAACAAATGTGAGTGATAATATTCGACTAAATACTCAATTGCTCAAACCGTTTATCTGGTAATATGTAAAAATTTTAGTACCTTTTGGACTTGAAATCAACTATTAAATCGTTTAATTGAAATGTAAAAATATATATTTTCTGTCTGCAAACAAAATCTGGTATTATGCGTTTAATATGTGTGATCTCAATAATTACGTAACGTACCTGCGGGGTGGGGTACTGGTATATATGGTCGTTGCCTAGCAACACGTAATCAATGTACCTGGCGGCCCCGCCAGTACAGTTGTAGTTTTTGCCGCCATCACTCAAACCTCCGGGTCCGATGTAGCCTCTGTAAACATACGTTCACAATATGACATGTCATTAACCTAGGGAGTTCCCAACATGCACCACACAGTTTGCCCGCGGGTTTTACACCCAGCAAAACTACTGCCTTTACATAATTATTCAGCAACTGCAAGAAGGTCATGAAACACAATTTGTGCTGTGTTGGATAGAATACGGTCCATAAAATAAAGTGGTAGGTCCCGAAGTCAGCTGTGAAACCAGAATCGAAGACAGAAAAGTGAGGTGAGGTGAGGTGAGGTGAGGTGATATTGGGTTTAACGTCGTGCTTAAGAATATTTCGCTCATCTGACGACGGGCGTGCGTGTGTATGTGTATGTGCGGCTGCTTGTACTAGCCCAGACTTAAGATGGTTTTATAGTGCTAGCCCACTGAGATACCATGCCGCAGTGAAGCATGAATACCCCACTCAGACACATTATACTGACTCCGAGCCGACCAGTCCTTGTTGTACCTATTAATGCCGAGCGCCAGGCAGGGACCAACAAGTACCATATCTTAACGTCTTTTAGACAGAAAAGTGATAGGCTAATGTTACTGATGAAGAAGTCAATACCAGACTAGACGTGTAGATGAATAGTGACGATAGCTATTAGCATGACTTACGTGGGACATCCGGGTACTGGCAGGCCGAAAGTGAGGCCGAGGTACACGCCCAGGATGCACAGCTGGAAGCCCCAGGCAGGGAGGTACAGGACGACGTCACGGATGGGAGACCACTTGCGGTCCTGAAAACAGTCTCGTCCATTTTATACAGATGATTGAGTTTACGAAAGTCTCAGAGTAACAAATCAGCTGTACCAGTGTCCATTAGAAAATAAACCCCTGACTGGCACACGACTGGTTGATATTGTGAGGAACGTCCCATATGAAAGTTATTCGAGGACACGTAGACAACCTCTCTCTCCCAAAGGGCCACAACATCCGATTTATTTAGTCCTCTTTTCCAACATGCAACAGAGACCTAGACCTTTACCTAACTCCACGGTGTTTAATGTTTTCAAACACGTAGATTTATGTCCATATACACTGCAGTTGTGTCAGTTGTATTACTTGGTTAAATACACCATTCGATTTAGCTTCTTGACAAATGCTCATCTTCTCTTATACATGTGTAACCTATTTACCTTGATGCTGCAAGAATTTTGACCATATTTACCCACGAAACTTGCGTTAACAACTTAATGACCAATGTAGAACATCTTATCTCCAACTGTATTACTTGGCAATACGCCCATTGATATCAATGCCTGTCAGTGGAGGTGGTGGTTTAAGAAATAACTTCGAGGTTATCTTTTATTATTTGTTATCTAAGTACGACATTTAACTTACCGCATGTGAATCTTCCTTCCTGTGACAGAGCAGCTCGGTGAGGGCGATGATGAGGTAGGTGACGCCGAATCTCTGCAGGACGCCGGGGACTCGTAGCTTGGTGAGATCCGTAGCTGACGAGCAGGAGGACAACACATGTTCATAAAATCAAAACTGCTATGGAGTTAATTTGGTTACTAGCAGTTTCCAGTCTAAGTAAACTTAGGCTCAACATTATTCGTTACACTGCTATACTGAGTCTAACAAAACCTAGTAGAAGGTCGCATCAGCTAACCTTTTGGACTGACCAGTCAGAACACAGCTTATCAAATCACGAAAGTTAACATTCGCACACACCGCTTGAACCTTTACCTCAAAAACTCGACAGATTCCGAATACTATTTTCCGCACGACCATTTCCGAGTGATACACGTAATGAGTAAACAGTCGCTGAAAATAGCGTTTTGTCAATATTCAAGGATGTCATCTTGCAAAAATATAAGCAAATAGTAACCATGTCACTAGAAACCCATAAGCGTATATACAGCAGGTCAAATATCTGTGTTTTATGCGGATTTTCGTTTGTTGATAGATCGGTGTCAGCGACCAGGGAAGAGAAAATCCAAAAACCGTTTTGTAACTCCCGCCGAACCCTAACAAGTAGCCGTTGTCTGATTGGTTAAATCCGTTCGGCCGTCTCGCGTTTGAATGGGCGGTCATAGGTCGCTCAAAGGTTAGCTGACGCGACCTGCTGCAAGGTTTTGTTAGAGTCAGTATAGCAGTGTAACGAATAATACTGAGCCTAAGTTTACTTAGACTGAACACTGCTAGTAACCAAATTAACTCCATTGCCTTTTTAACTTCTTCTTTACAATTTACAAGTTGAAAAGGGATGCTAGAAGCACATTCCAACAGTGCCTGTTTACAAGCTCTGGGCTAAATATCCTATTGAACTTTAAATATTTGCAAGAAAACCCCCGAAACATCATAAGTACTGGCATTCGCGTCCTATATACACTTTTCATGGCAGTCGCGATGCATCCGGTATACTGCTTTATCGGGCTCCGTATCCGGTGAACCAAAAGAGGTTTGGCACTCTCATCAACAGAGTAATAGCGTGTACACACGGTGAGAACAAAACTATTCAGTACATATATCAGAACATCTTCAGCAATCAAATTACTTTTGAAAATACGAACAGGTTTCCACAACGGATCCTCGTATCGGACTGAATGTGTTGTGTCTCAAAAGGATACAATATGTGAAGTCCATTCTCGTTGTTACCGATATGATACACCTCAACGTGCCACCATACTGTTTTGATCTTGCTAACAGTTTTCTGGAATCGAGTGCATAAAATGAGCCTTTCTCTACGTCACGAACATCTTAGGAGTACCACTCCAGACACTTACGTCCCCATGAGGTTGCCAGGATGATTCCCAAACCGAACAGAATACAGGATCGCTTGATGATCTTCCATAGAATCTGGCACCTTGTCTTGCCACGTTTGTACATGCTCCGGAACGAGAAGTTCATAGCGGTTCCCATGATGAAGATGAACCTGGAAAGAACAAACTTATACCTTCATCACACGATCACCTTGAGCATGAAGACAAACACACCTTCATCATACTAGGTACATCTTACATGCGAACATATCAATATATATCATATCACAAGATCACCTTGAGCATGAAGATAAAAACACCTTCATCATACTAGGTACATCTTACATGCGAACATATCAAAATCTTTCTCCCAGGATCACCTTAAGGTTGGACGTAATAATACCTTCACGACAGGATCACATTGAGAGTGAACACATTAATAACGCTATAGCAGTGCGAACATATCAATATATATCATATCACAGGCTCTCCTTAAGGTTGGAGGTAATAATACCTTCACGACAGGATCACATTGAGAGTGAACACATTAATAACGCTATAGCAGTGCGAACATATCAATATATATCATATCACAGGCTCACCTTAAGGTTGGAGGTATTAATACCTTCACGACAGGATCACATTGAGAGTGAACACATTAATAACACTATAGCAGTGCGAACATATCAATATATATCATATCCCAGGATCACCTTAAGGTTGGAGGTATTCCTATCTTCACACGACATGATCACCTTGAGAGTGAACATAACGCCATCCTTTTGATGATGTAAACCGTTTTACAATGAAAATTTTGTTTCGAAGCGTTGGGGTATGTGTGAGAATATACTCTGACACATTTTATCCACGGCTATGCTGTAGATATATATGTTTATTCGTTACTCACAGAGAAATTCCCTGCTCATTATTATGCAACCGTATGTCCCAATAACATTCTGACGTACCAGGGGAAGACGAGGTCAGCCAACGTGAGGCCGTTCCAGGGAGGATGCTCGAAGAACCAGTAACCACCGCCGCCGTAGTTCACGAAGATCATTATGCTCAGGGCCAAGCTGAAGATACAGACGTTCATTTGTGTCAACCTAATCGTAAAATTTATAATAAACTGTTGTCATTTAACACGAGACTGTAGCATTCAGCAAAGGGGTTCCTACCAGTAAGAGGAAATGGGTATCCCTTAGTAATGGGATACATGGCAAATTGAACAACTCAACTCGTACCCCCTGAATGTGTCCAGAGAACGCAGCCTCTTCTTCTTCTTGGGCTCGGTGACCTTTTTGGGGCCTCCGTTTTCTACATCTCCGTTAGCTTTACTGAGAGGGTCCATGTTCTGAACATATAAAATAGGGGCATCTCATCAAATCATTACACTCCATTATATACAGTAAGGGTTGATTGGTAAGACTTGGTTACAGATGCTCATATGCATACCCACACACACCACGCATACACATACAATCCCATATACATCGTGTGTGTGCGCGTGTGTGTGTATAGTGTGCTTGACTTTATGATTTATATATACAACTGAAACTGACTACTGGTTTGTCAGATCAATTAACAACAATTAAAAATAATTAATAATTATTCCAGCGTAATTATTCTACGATTCTATTCTATCAGCTATACATGCATATAGGCCTGCCTTTGATAAGTAGATAAATTCATAAATGTATGCAGCTGAGACTGACAGCTCATTGTATCCTAACTAGATTTGAGGTTAATACATTGAATAACCAATTCTCGTTGAACATTATTCTTTTTTAAAATATTATTTCAAGTTAGATTTTAATCGATTCCAACAAGCGAAGTCTGACATTAATTCCAACTCGTGTCAGCTACCTACCACCGAATTATTAGCCTCTGAGTGTTCCCTGGGATCAGTGATATCAGCGCTCTTCCCGAAACATGGCGCCGATCTACTGCGTCTGTAATGTAAGCAGTAAAAAAATAAACGTAAATCAGAATCATTGTCATTTCCGTCCTAATTAATTACAATGTCTGAAGTATATTACAATAATATATTACAATAAATCCTTTTTTATGTACGGATCAATAGGATTACGGTTGCGATACGTAAATGTGAAGGTATAACTATAATGTCCCTATGGGAATGCTGCGATTGCGAGGTGGCTGCAGGTGAGGTTAGACATTAAGTATCCCCCAACCTCCCACCCAACACACAAATAAGTAATAGTAATCAAATGAAATAAAATAATATAAAATCATGTTATTCATTTAAAATTTAGATAAAAATAACCAAACATTAAATGGAACCAATAACAACGCTCAATGTCAGTCAATCTAAATCTGATTTGCATTCGTTTTCTATTGTGTTCTCAAAGGTCGGGGTGTGTGGGGGTTGGGGGCAGAGTGGACGTGATCGGGGCGTGAGACAGGGCATCAGGTCCTTCTGTTGGTATGTGGTCATTACAAGTCATCGTGTTACAGGTCAAATGTCCGTGTTATTGTGGACGTTATTTGTGTGTCACGTGTCTTCAGTGTGCTACTGACCTGTAAATACACTTGATGATGGCCCACAGTCCGGCCAGGCCTAGCAAACCCAGCACTGTAAACAGTATGGCTGAAATAGACACAATACATGTGATGAATGTCCACCTCCCCTTGACCATGGTCATCTGCTGATAAAAGAGTCTTTGTCGTCTTGCTTCTCGGCAAATAGGATCGCTGAGAGAGTCTACAGCTGTATTCGTATAATTGGTGTCTCCTCTGATGCTGGTATTAGGTACTGTCATCCGACTGATGAGTCAGATTATTCCCTAAACGTTTTATATCATGTCAGGATTATATATCGACATAGAAATCTAAAATATCATTGTCAGAGTATAATAAGTTCGAAATCTGTAGAAACATAAAGTAAAAGGTAAAAGGTAGGTGCTCGCAAATCCTGACCGATATGGGTGAGTGAGTGTAGGTTTACACCGCTTTTAGCAATATTCCAGCAATATCACGACAGGGGACACCAGAAATGGGCTTCACACATTGTACCCATAAGGGAATCGAACCCGGGTCTTCGGCGTGACGAGCGAACGCTTTAACCACTAGGCTACCACACCGCCCCAGAACCGATATGAAGACAAATACATTAAGAGAAGAGTTCTAAAATGTCACGCTATTACCAAATCGCCGCTGACAGTCAACGGTAGTGAATACTGTGATAAGTAAATGTTGTTTCAGCTCTGTTACAAGGAACAAAACCGTTTCTAAATTAAGTTTATAAAATAAAATAAAATAAACAGTAGCCCAGAGACTTTATTTATTTCTGAAATTGCAGTTATCTAGACTTGTATGGGTTGCATTCGGCATATCTATATGACATACTTAGTTACTTGTAAACAGCTAAAACCGAACTAAATATTAATCTTAGGACTTATTGCCCTATCCATGAAGAATTGGTTAGAATTCGGGTTAGAATTGATCTTCAGTAACCCATGCTTGTCGTAAATGGCGACTAACGGGATCGGGAGGTCAGGCTCTCTGACTTGGTGGGCACGTCATCGTATATGGATAGAGCTGGAATATTAATGAATACGGCGTGAAACTAAAACTCACTCACTCAATCACTCACTCACTTATTGCTCCGAGCAGTGCAACTGTTAGCAGCGACCACTTACGTATTTCGGCCGGCAGGGGTTCGTTCGCCAGCAGCAGGTCGCAGGCCGTCCCCTCCATGTAGGCATGGTAGTCAAGGAACAACCAGTAGTCGCCCGCCTCGCGGTAATGCAGCTCAAAGCTGGAAGAGGAGACGCCTGTGTTACTAATCACACACATTGCATAACTCAAAGAGTGCAAAATCAGATCATTAGTCAATCGTCATAAACATACGTCATACAGGAATTAGGTTCATCTCAAGCGGAACAGACTCTCTAATTCTGGTGACATTTATTTTTCATTATAAAAGACAACCCAGCGGTCATGAATACACAATGCCATTTAGAAAGTGGTCAAATGTAACATATTTTATATTCGGGATTACAGATTTTACTTCATTCTAGTACTTTTGTTGGGTTGAGTGCCATCCGGGATTCGAACCCACACCCTCAGAGTCAGGCACCTAATCGCCAGCACACAAAGTCAGCCGCTTAACCCGATCAGCCACCGCGGCTTCCACAACCAAAGCACTAGAATCTGTACTTCACACAAGAAAGTGTAATCCCAAATATAACATATGTTAAACCTTGCGGTTGATGTGACTTCCCATGTCTTCCTGCTCGGAATTACAGAAACTTTTAGAATGAAATGTGGTTTACCGTCAAGCTGTATGACATAAACAGTTTACACTTCATTATACTACCACAACTACTTGCTAGGTTGACACGCAGGAGACCCATGGAAGGGAATCTTAGTCGTATTTGGTTCAGTGAAAGGTAATGGGGTGAAGTGAGGTGAAATTGGGTTTTACGTCGTGCTGGAGAATATTTCGCTCATATGACGACGTGCATGCGTGTGTATGTGTATGTGCGGCTGCTTGTACTAGCCCAGACTTAAGCTGGTTTTATAGTGCTAGCCCACTAAGATACCATGTCGCAGTGAAGCTTGAATACCCCACTCAGACACATTATACTGACTCCGAGCCGACCGGTCCTTGTTGTACCCATTAATGCCGAGCGCCAGGCAGGGACCAACAAGTACCATATTTTAACGTCTTTGGGTATGAGGCGGTCGGGGATCGAACTCGCGACCTTTGAAGAGTAACGCATACTTAAATCAACACGCTGAATAGATAAGAATAGTTCGTCGTGAACTGAACAAGATACGTACTTTTGGAGAAACAGACGCTCAGATCTACTGAGGGAAAAGAGAGATGGAATAGCACGGTATACCATTTCATTCACGCACACACAGGCACGCAATCACACACATTCATGTGCACACTTTGGAGTTATTCTACACAACCAAACCCTGCCGATCTCCATCCACATAACACGTGTTGGTTCCTAACCTGCAGATATCCTCCACATGGTCAGTGGGGTGCTGTCTGGCCAGTTTGACCCTCATGGGCCACTTGGTGTCCATGAGAATGGTGCTGGTGTTGGGGCCATGGATCGTGTCTATCTGCCTTAGGGGACACTGGAAACGGTGGTACATACATGAATAGTGCATTCTATCACAAATTACGGTTGGATCAAATTCCTTTTTGCGTGTGAAACTATCACACTTTTCCCATGAAACAAGCATTCTAAACACAATTTATATCTAACGTGGATTCAAAGTAGAGATCCAAGGCATAATCTAATGACCTTCCTTGTAGTGGCAATCTTCTATCATTTAGACTAATTTTTCGTGTCTGATATGCAAATACTTTACAAAAAAACAGTTGTGATATAATAATTTTGTCTACATTGTTAAATTATGTAAATGCAAACTAATTAAAAGCAGCCAAATGACCACCCTCATTTTGAGTTTGAAACTGCCTACTCTGGGCTTATTCTGTTTGATTGGCATTGTCAACTATATTGCATGAGCTGTATTGAAGATACTTGTTTCGTGGTCTGTATGACATACTCTACCCTATTAAACAAGTACAAATATGGTTGCTAACAACAACTATTTCTCTCTTGTGTCTTCAATTCAAATTTGTATTCCTATATATTAACTAATTAATACATTTGATTATGTTATTGTATTTATAACTTAAATTGTGAGAATATGTGTCAATATAATTATCTGTTCATCAGTTGCCTACTACATGTAGTTACTTTCTACGCCAATCACTAAATGACAATACACTGCGAGTCTCCGTACCCGCACGCATTGCGTAGTCTGTGCCCATAGCTGCAGGTCGAAGTTGACGCTAGTGTTGATGGTGAACCAGGCCTTGTCATACGTCAGGTCAGGTTTTTCGTCGGATCTGTGGGCATTGAAGTAGCGGATGAAGTCCCATCTGGAGGAGTTGCCACTTTGCGTTGTTGTTACCGCTGCTGACGTTGTTTCTTGTGACAGGACACCAGAAACTGCAACAGATGATCGTCGATAAGTGGCAGCAGCAAATTTAGTTTTGCTTGGTGCGCTCAAAACTATTTTATACGAGTTTAGTTTGTTTCTTGTTTAACGCTGCGCTCGGGCAAAACATTCATCTGTAAATTTATTGACTCTGGACCAAGCAATCCAGTTCTTGGAATCATCTACTTAACAGTTACATAATGAAATGCTTCAACCAAGTCATAGAGCCTGACCACCTGATCCCGTTAGATAAATATCGGTTACTGAAGACAACTTCTAATCCGGATTTCCACGTATTTCTAACACAAGTAAATATTGTTGTCCGTTGTATATCATTAAAATCAGTGACAATTAGAACTGGCGTGGTGTTGACACAGTGTATTTGTCCATGTGGTTGCAATATATCCTTTTGCACAAATACTCGAAGAAATATTCGACTTACATTTTCGAAATAACACCGATTCTGTTTCCTTATCAAAAGAATATATCTAGATGTAAAAATATAATTTCATATCAAACAGTTGTTATGTTCAGGTGTCGTTAGAGGCGACTAACGGGATCGGGTGGACAGGCTCGCTGATTTGGTTGACAAATGTCATCGTATCATAAATTGCGTAGATCGAAGCTCATGACGTTGATCACTAGCTTGTCTAGGCCAGACTTGATTATTTTCAGACCGCGGCCATATAGCTGGAATATTGCTGAGTGCGGCGTTAAACAACAATCAATTAGTGTTATGTTCAGCCCCCAAGTGACAGACTTGAATGCCTAAGCATAAGAAGGCAAGTGATGAAAGTAAAAAATGAAGCTACATGCAAAGAAACACATCCTGCTCACACAAAACATAGTAATTGCATTGCCACAGTGTTTGGTCATGTAATGAGAAACTACACGAATCTTAACAGTTTCACCCAAAACACACAACATTTAATGAGATCTCGTAGATGTGTTCGAACCCAAGATTCTAGGTCAACTCTCTCAAGTCCATCAGATGACCACTTTATTTGCTTTTGGACAAATTACTGACAACAAAGTAAATCGTCTCGACGCTGAGAACCACAGGGCTTTAAAAATTCTTCAAACGAGCTGAGATTTTTTTTCCCGAAATTCAGTTTCATCTAGTGGTATCTAAGTGAATGAATAGTCGTTAGCTCGTTCAAAGCGCGTGTAGCCAACACAATATCCCGATATATGCTGCATTTAGGCCTGTGGCATCCCGTAATCCCTTACGAACGAGGAATATGAATTCATTACAGCATAGATGGCACAGCTCGTTAAGTGTCGCTGACATTTGGACTATTTACTAAGGAACACAATCACACTAGTTGTATAAAGATCTAGTAAAGAACACAATAACGATGTTGTATAAGAGTGAGCGAGTGAGTTAATTTTACGCCGCTTTTAGCAATATTCCAGCAATATCATGGCGGGGGACACCAGAAATGAGCTTCACACATTGTGCCCATCTGGGGAATCGAACCCGGGTCTTCAGCGTGACGAGCGAACGCCTTAACCACTAGGCTACCCCACCGCCCCATGTTGTATAAGATCTAGTAAGGAACAGAATAACGCTATAGCATTCGATCTGGTACTGAACACCATCACGTTCCAGCATCCGGTCGGGTAACGGACACAAACAAGATAGCAATAGAAAATCACCAAAAAACACCTAATCTAGAAAGGAACAAAGGCTCAAAGGACTGGAAAGATTACTCGAAGTATGAGACATTTACGATATTAAGACTTCAGCAGTAAAAAGCATCGTAACGTTTTGTTGTGAAGCAGAACCGTAATACGGGTTTTTCCTCATCTACAAACAATAGATGGCTGATGTCCAGCATGCACATATACATCACGATTGCACCCTGTAGTGTACATCGCGTCTTCTTCACCTGACCCGTCAACCCATGGGCTGGATCCCCTACTCCCACCACAACCCATAGGTGACAATGTTGGCCATGGTCAAATGACTTCAATCGTTTCCAAGCTTTGCATGCTAGTGAGAGGGAGAATCACAAATAACGATCAGAACGCCGAGCATTCGGATTAAACAACATGAAAGGCTAGCCAACATATTTTACTAAATGGAAAAATCCGGAACAGATCTTACAAGAGAAGAGAAAATAGAAAGATGTTTGGTTCAAACAAATGACTTGGTCCTTGAACAAGCGAATTTTTGTCCAAGTGACATGACCACGTGACCTTTTCCACCATGGTGGTACATCCACACCCTTGGAAAGAAAACGAGTAGTAGGGGTTTGTTGACACAAATTGTCTTCTCAAATTGATTTACTTAAGTCAAGTAAAGGTAGGGATTTTTTCACTGTTATTTTCCAAGCATCCAAGTAATTTTCAATAGGAGAGGAGAGAGAAAGACGTGTTTTAATTTTAGAAATAAGAGTATCTTTTCTTCTCAAAATGTAAACTTCCATAGGAATATGTATATTTTCTGTGACAGTCTTTCATTTGACCATTCGCAACCTAAAAACTGATAAAGATGTAACACTCAACAATACATGAGTGAATGACTGAGTCTGGTGTTACGCCGCTTTTAGCAATATTCCAGCAATATGACGGAGGGGACACCAGAAATGGGTAACAATAAGTATTGATAAGGTTTCATTCTCAATTATATCTATAAGTTAGGGGAATGGTCAGCCCAAATGACACTTCATCTGGCGGTCATCAGAAGACCGTCATTCCTTGACCGTCCCATTATCCGTTGGTCTGGGGTTCAAATCCCCCTAGATCGCATCATAAGATAGACACTGCCACTTAACTGCAAATTCCCTTTGAGAAGTATTACAAACAATAAAAATACACGAAAGAATCACTTGTAGACACCGACGTGTAACCTGTTCCCCGAAAGGTTGTATTTGAGAATGTGAAGCAGAGAATGTTTACACTTCCATCCAACCTGTCATCTGTTTCAAAGTTCGGTTAAGACAGTATGTCCTGTCTCACTGTTTTGTTCAAAGACGTTTGTGTTGAGAGCAGGGTAACCTGACCGGATCAAAATGGGGTTGGGGCGTGGTTAGCATGTTTGCTGTGAGACGTCATTGTCGAAAATGTAGTGTCCAATTTTTTCTGGGAAGACAGAGCAGATCGTGAAGAGCAAAATAATCTGAAAGAAGCCTCGATCCGAACGGATTGAGTTTAGATTCTACATTTTAAAACCGCCTGTCATGAAGGTAAAATATTATTTACAAATAATTTTTTGGCAAAATATATTAGAAATTTGGTCTTCGTGTTCATAAAGGTTTTCTGGTAAACTTCTTTTCTGATGTCACCAACGAAATTGGTTAAAGTACGAAGCTTTCATATCTACCATGCCCACTTGCAAAAATGTACTTTTTCTCAATGCACAGACTTATGGTAATCTTTGTATAAAAAAGTAGTAATATTTTCTTCCTGGCGCAGGTTAACCTCTCGGGCTATCAGCGCCACACTGACTGTGTCACATTGTGTTTCCGCATACTTGGTCTTTACTGGTAAAAGTTCACAGGATGATCCGCACACACACTGACATTACATGACATCGCTGCAAGGTAACGGTTTCCGAACAGACCTTACAAGCTGTATACAGTGCATATGTAAAGATATGTAACACACTGTATACGATATGAAACAAGTGACACGCTGAATACAGTGCATAGTTAAGGATATGTAAAACGATGTATACAGTGAATATTTAAACATAATTATATACCATTATATAACAGGCCGAATACACAACTGAGATATAATCTACTGACCCAGAGCAGGGTAATCCTATAAAGATTCCTGGTAATATTCCCGGCTGACTCTCCACCCAGTCCATCATAGAGACGGTTGTGTAAATGGTACAATAGATATATTCACTACTTGCATCGTTTCCACTATTAACAACCACTACCCCTAATATAACTGGAACACTGTTCCCATTCACTGTAAACCTCGAAACGACTAATTTTAATGAGTTAAACCACCTTTCGGAAACATTGGAATCTACATTACCGTGAAGGTGTGGTCACAGTGGCCAATCCAAATATGCACAAACACAACTTCTTGCACGTTGTTTTCATATCACACCACATACAAACACTGCGACCATTGAAAACAAGCCAAACTGAATATGGTGAAGATCGTCACGTTACGAATTCCCAAGACATTGGAAAAAACTAAAAATCATATCTTAAACAGAGGCAAGCAAACTTGCCTTGTGGTTTTGTTTGAACAACGGCAGACATTAGTATGAAATACGTCATGTCAGCAAATTATGTCATACTTCGGTCAATGTTAGAAAATAACTCAGATATTAACGCGATGACCAATCCGATCAGATATGTGGGATTTCCTTCAGACCGGGGCCAAGGCCTGCAAACATTGAACGTTTAGACAAACATTTCCAGTCGCCTCCATCACACAACAAAAAAAGCCAAAACGGCAATACTACGCAAACACATTGCTTGTGTTGGCAAGATAGTCAAAGGTATTTCTCCAACAGGGCAGAGACAGAGGTTTGTGGACGATCCAAGGGCGGAGAGAAAAAGAACTTTGTAGAAGTTAGCAAATGTGTATATACTGAGGCTAAGCACAGGCAATGGAAGCGCGTTAAACTTCCTAAAATTTGTTTTGACAAAAAGGTACATTGTAAAAGCTGAAGAGATGTTGGGTTTTGGAAGCCTTTGTCACACAACGCAGAGTATTCGTGCTGGATTATGTGTGTTTAGTCTTAACATTAAACTTTTCTGTGGTGTCATTTGCACACAGAAGCATTAAACGAACGTATATATTTTGTTGTGGTTAGAACAAAAAAATAAACACATATTGTCCAACGGAAAAGTCACAGCTGATGTTAATGTGTTAAACATTTTACTTTGAGGTGGCAATCATTATTTTGGATGTTATTTGTTTTCTTAAATCACTGAAATCATTATTTTGTCCCTTCTTCTTTGTATAAATTTGACAAATGTGTCCGTTCAATAAGACTGATATTCGGATTCTGTGAATAAAGTACATGTTCGTCCTT